TGGATAGTGAGAGAGAGAGACAGAGAGATAGGTCTTCCTTTGCCATTGGTTCACCCTCCAATGGCCGCCGCAGCCGGCGCAATGCCGCAGGTGCACGACGCTGATCTGAAGCCAGGAGCCAGGTGCTTCTCCTGGTCTCCCACGGGGTGCAGGGCCCAAGGACCTGGGCCATCCTCCACTGCACTCCCTGACCACAGCAGAGAGCTGGCCTGGAAGAGGGGCAACCGGGACAGAATCCGATGCCCCGACCGGGACTAGAACCTGGTGTACCAGTGCCACAAGGTAGAGGATTAGCCTATTGAGCCGCGGCGCCGGCCCTGAAGAATCTTTCTGATATAAAGCTACATATGTTCTCCAGTTTCCTCTAATAGTTTTATGTTTAACTTTTATATTTTTTTTTTGATACATTTTGAGGTAAATTTTGTGCATTGTGAGATGAAATAGTCACGATTCATAGTTTTCCATACTGAATATACAGTTATTCTAGTGTGATTTGTTTTATTAAAAACTATTTTCTTGGCCGGCGCCGTGGCTCACTAGGCTAATCCTCTGCCTTGCGGCGTCCGCACACCGCACCGGGTTCTAGTCCCGGTCGGGGCGCCGGATTCTGTCCTGCTTGCCCCTCTTCCAGGCCAGCTCTCTGCTGTGGCCAGGGAGTGCAGTGGAGGATGGCCCAAGTGCTTGGGCCCTGCACCCCATGGGAGACCAGGATAAGTACCTGGGTCCTGCCATCGGATCAGCGCGGTGCGCCGGCCGCAGCGCGCCGGCCGTGGTGGCCATTGGAGGATGAACCAACGGCAAAGGAAGACCTTTCTCTCTGTCTCTCTCTCTCACTGTCCACTCTGCCTGTCAAAATAAATAAATAAATAAATAAATAAAAACTATTTTCTTTATATAAATATTTTGCATATTTTTCCAAAATTTGGCAAGTGAAAGTCTACTTGTGATTTTTCAGATTTGTTCTTTTTAACTATATGTCTCTGCTTGTATCAATATTTTACCATCTGATTACTGTGGCTTTAAATATAAAGTCAATTTCAAGTAGCATAAGTCTTCCAACCTTTGGTTTAAAAAAAAAAATTATTTTGCTTTGGGGACGACCTCATGGAGTAGTGGGTTAAGCCACTGTTCAGAACATCTACAAATTTTGTGAGCCTGGCTCACATCCTGGCTACTCTGTGCTTCCCATTCAGCTTCTTCTTGCCTGGAAGGCAGCAGATAATGGCTTAAGAACTTGGGTTCCTTCCAGTAATTTTGGAGACCCAGATGGAGTTCCTGGATTCTGGTTTAGGCCTGGCCCAATCCAGGCTCTCTGTCTCTCCCTTCCTCTCTTTCTTTCAGTCTGCCTTTCAAATAAATAAGTGAATATTAAAAAAAAAATTGCTTCTTCTACACCTGACATTTTTATATAAACTTAAAAATGTTCTGTAAAATGAATACTGGGATTTTAACAAGATTTTCATTAAATTGATATACTAATTTGAAGAGAAATGATAGTCTAGTTAAACTGAATCTCTCAACTGAGAAAAACATGTTTATATATATTTATTTTTATATCTTCTTTAATTTTTGTAAATTTCATGGATAAGTCTTACATTTATCTATCTTGTATATTTCCAAAATATTTTGATGTTGTTTAAAATGGATTTTTAAATTTCAGCTTATATTTTTATTGCAAAATGTTAGAAATAAAGTTGAGTTTTGTATATTGATCTTGTATCCAAAGCCCTTGCTGATATCATTCATTAGTTCTTGAAGCTTTTGCTAAACTCTCAGTATTTTTCTTCATATATAATTATGTCACCTGTGCATAACATGATATTTAGCTTTGTTAGGACTAAGCTTTTTGTTAAACCTAAGAATGGTATTAGGAATGTGATATACAGATGTATCTAAATGTGCATACTTCCTTTGATGTATTTAGCTTACAGTTCCTTTCAGAGGATAGAACTAGAAAATATATAATTGTGTTCCTGTAGACACAGAACATATATTACTATTGCACATAAATTGTATTATATATATTTGTTAATGAATGGGTAAATGGATAATTTTTTTCATTATAAACTGACTTTCTTCAAAAAAGATACTTGGTTTAGAATTATACCAGAAACGAATAAAAATAAATCTTTCTCGTAAATTGACATAGTATTCCAATTTTTTCAGATCTGATAAATAAGAAATGTTATTAATGTAGTTTTGAATTTTATTTCCCATATTATGCATAAATTTGGATATTTTCTGTGTTTTGGAGTTATTATTTTTTATTGGATTTTTAAATTAACTTGGGGATAATTCATGTTTTTATAGTGGTCAGTATCTTAGTCCATTAGAGTTACTTAAACTATCACAGTTTCAGAAGCTAGCAAGTTTAAAATCATGGAGAGGGCCCACTTTCTGGTTCATAAATAGTCTGGCCCTCTCATTAAGTGGCAGAAAAAGGAAACAAGCAAACTTACTTGGGACTCTATAGACACTAATCCCATTCATGAGGATTTCATACTCATGACTTAATCTAATGATAATCGCCTCATCTCCTAATTCCCTCATATTTATAATGCTTTAATATATGAATTTTGAAAGGACACAAGCATCCACACCATAACATTCTGTCTTTACATCCCAGGACATGAGAAGTTGTTCAAATGCCCCCTTGTGTCTTTTTGTAGTGCTTTTAAGGATTTCTTTTTGTAGACTTCAAAAAATTGTATTGCATATTTACAAATGTTTATTTTTGATTACAAATAGAATTTTCTTTTATATTACATTTAAAGGCTATATTTGTGCATAGGAAAGCAACTGATTTTTTATTCTAACTTCAGATATTTTAGTCTGATTTTTTATAATCATTTGAGTTTTATCATTGCATTTCTTACGTTATCTAGAAAAAATGTCAAATGATCTGCAAACACTTCTTATTTGATTATTGCTATGCCTAAAATTTCTTCAGCATATTTTTTTCTTTCTTGATATGAATATATTTCAAGAATGTCAGGTAATGTCTTATATGCTATGCCTAAATTATGTTTGTTTGAGACTTGTTGTTGAGATTCCTACATTTTCAGCAAAAATACCTCAGTTATATTTGTGTAATTTTTTCAACCAGTTATTCTGGTAAAGAGGCACATGCTGTTCCTTTGGCGGATTATTAACTTTAACATTATTTTGGGAGATTATTAACTTTAACATTAACTTTCCTTCTTTGTTTAATGTAGTATCTTCTAAAATTTCCTATGCTACAGTTAGAATTTTCCCTGTTATTAGAGTAAAATAATTAAGGAGATGCACAGTGCTTTTGTATGTTTGTTTCTCATCAATTTTTTCCCACTAACTCAACACTCATGGTTTCAATATGTGAATCAATTTCCTTTATATTTCTTATTTAATTCGTATTTTTGTTCATAATTCTGTCATATATTTTAGTTAACTTATTATACTATTTATGTGATTTTTTGTTTTTTTTTCTTATTTTTTAATCTTGTTAATATAAAGAGAACAGATTCTATGAATTTGATAGATACAATTCAAGGAAGATAACCATATTTAACTCACTCTGTCCTCTCTCAATGACTGATTCTTTCTTTATTTCTTTTTCCTTTAATTTTTGCAATAACACAATATCAATTTACTTTTTAATCACACTTAATGTCCCACTAACCGTAATGTTCAACAAGTAAAATGTAGAAAGACCACTGTTCCACAAGAATATAGACAAGGGCTATATATTTGTATTTACAAGTACATTTAGAAAATTCCCTTTATAATATATTTCATAATGATATTAATACTTTTAGCTATGTTATTCCATAGCTTTAAATCGCATCCTTTAATATCAACCTATTGTGTAGAAAATGAACTTATTCTACTTTTCCTTACCTCCTTGCTTTTTCATACTATTTATTTAATTGTGTTATTTCTTCTTTTCCAAAGCGTGTGGGATTTATATCCTAAACTGACACTCCTATCTCACTTTTTATATCATCATATAAATGCTCCCATAAGTCATTTGTCATGTTTCCTCTGTCATTTTTGGTTGAAAGATGTCATTTTTCTAACTTAGATCTTAAGTACAGTGATTTAAGTATATTGCTCCCTGAATTCTTATATATCTAAAATTATTTTACAGTAAGATGTGTTCTAAGATGATAGGTGAATTGGGTATATATTGGATTTTCATTTTTAAAGCATTATTTTATTTAAAATTGACAAATAATACATATATAAATTCGCAAAGAATAATGTGATGTTTCATAGACGTTTACATTGTGGAGTATTGGCAGATTGATGATATTTGAATCATTGTTATATCCATAATATAAAATAATATTTAAATAGCAGGTGATTTGTAATATACTCACATCCTTTCTCTTTGGACATAGAAGCAACTGCTTCTTATCTCTAACAAATTGTGTTTTGGAAGTCTCTTATACTTTCTTAGATCAGATTACTTCATTATTGAATTGGTTAATTAATGCTTCACCTATCTAACTGTTGTGAGAGTAAGAATGAACACAAGTGAAAACTCATTAGAAAATGTGAATTAAAATTAGCCAAGTGATTGATTTCAAGAGAGTGAAAGCTTTAACATAACTTTCCTTAGAGGAAAGTTTTTCATACAACAATTGAAATAATGTTAGTTATCTATGTTTCAACTTCCCACCTTTTTTAGCAATTATATTTTAAAAAAAACTATTATCTCTGCCAATAAGAAGTAGATTGCAAGTTACATGGTCTCCTCTTGAGATGTAAAGATTCATAATTATAGTAATATGACAGAATGTGCTTACAATTTGGTTAGAATGGCCTACTTTTTACTTTGCTGTGGTAGTACAGATCTCTTGCAAGATCACTGAGATTTTGTTTGCCTTTGTCATATTCAGTTTGTTAACTTCATTTCATCTTCTTAGCTAAATGGAATATTGTATACTTCCTGTAAGAGCCATGAGACAAAGCATCTAGGTCATCCTTTCTTACAGTAAATTAAAAAAAATGCATCTTACCCACTGAAAAGTTTGCCTGATGGCATAATAGTTATACAGTGAAAAGTTACTTTTCCATATTGCCTTAGTGAATAGGAGGAATATGCAAGAACGTGCAGCCTTGTGTCTCCCTAGGTATAAGTGAGAAATGACCTTAATTATTTTAATAGCATATTAGTTGATCACTTGATTGATTTATTTTCTATTTTTGTAACCTTCAACAAAGGTCATGGACAACAGCAGTCATCAATAGCTAGAATTTATAATCAAGACTAAGTAGAACATGTTTGTAAACTTGTTCGAAAATGTAGTGCAAACCCATAGACTGTGTAGGAAAAAAAAACCACAAAAGGGAATTATTTTTGAGCATAGTGGCACTTTCCTATTGTATGCAAGCTGTACTTTTTAGAAAACTGCATTTCCAAGAGCTATATCAGGAGCAGATGGCCATAAAATCAATTGTATTTTTTCAGAAATAGTACTACATGAAAATGTCCTGCTCTTCATCAAAATTTGTTCTTGTGGTAGCGATAGTAGTATCAATATGTCATAAAATTAAAACTCCAATCCTGGAAATATATGATTATTTGGATCGAAGTTACACGTTATTGTAAATCCATAATTTCAAAGTTACTGATATGTAAAGATCAGAATTCAAGCTCTTCATTTTAACATAAGGGAATTTAAGCCCAATTTAATCATTTGCCCAATATGGAGTATCTAGTTGGTGATGCATGTAATACTAGATTCTAAGTCTCTGTTCTCCAAATCTAATTATATTTCAATTACTTTAGAGAAATCCCCCTTACAAAAATCTGAAAACTTGCTTTATACTTCTGCATGTGAAATCAAGTTTTCCTAGCACCATTTGTTGATGAGACACTCTTTGCTCCAGGGATTGGTTTTAGCTCCTTGGTCAAATATAACTTGATAATAGAAGCTTGGATTGACTTCTGGCATTTCTATTCTGTTCCATTGATCTATCCATCTGTTTTTGTACCAATACCAGCCTGTTTTGATTATAACTGCCTTGTAGTATATCTTGAAATCTAGTATTGTGATGCCTCTGACTTTATTTTTGTTGTATAAGATTGTTTTAGCTATTTGAAGTCTCCTGTGTTTTCATATGGATTTCAGCATAATTTTTTCTATATCTGAGAAGAATGTCTTTGGTGTTTTTATTGGTATTGCACTGAATCTATAAATTGCTTTCATAAGAATGGACATTTTGATGATATCATTTTTCTAATCCATGAACATGGAAGATTTTTCCATTTTTTTGTATCCTCTTCAATTTCTTTCTTTAATGTTTTGTAATTCTCATCATTAAGATCTTTGACATCCTTGGTTAAATTTATTCCAACGTATTTTATTTTTTTGTAACTGTTGTAAATGGGATTTATCTTAGAAGTTCATTCTCAGACTTGGCATCATCTGTGTATACAAAGTCTGTTGATTTTTATGTATTGATTATATAACCTGATACTTTACCAAACTCTTTTAATAGTCTACAGCCATACCACCCTGAATGCGCCCGATCTCATCCAATAGTCTTTTAGTGGATTCTTTTGTATTTCCTATATATAGAATCATGTGATCTGCAAATCAGCTAGTCCCAAAGGGACAAATACCATATATTCTCCCTGAGCTGTGATAACTAATAGAGCATCTAAAAGAAAATCTGTAGAAGTGAAATTGACACTTTGAGAAGCAATGACTTGAACAGCCCTTGTATTGACTGTCGAGTAACAGTTTTTTTTTCTTCTTACTATTTGTTGAACTCTGTACTTAACACAGAGTTAATCATATGTGTATAAAGTCAATTTAAAATAGATCTCAGTAAAAAAATAAAAGTGAGAATAAGAGAGGGAGGAGGAAGTTTGTAACTGTATGTACGGTTCTGCATACATTCCTATGGAGTTACTTCTAAGGAATAATTTAAAAACTTGTCATAGGACCCCAAATTCCCTTAAACTGGGTGGTAAAAAATTCCTTTTTAAGTGCCAAAGGGATCATATTAAGTGTTAAAGTGAACATATAGATAGGATTAAGCATTAAAGTGATCATATAAATAAGATCAAGTGTTTGGCAATAATAATAGATAGAATAAAAGGAGAGAATTTTCCAACATGGAAAGTAGTCCACACAGCAGACTCATAGAATGACAATTGCTTTAAGTAACACTCTGACCTCAGAATCATCCCTTAAGGCATCCTGGTCTGGCTGTAAAGTCCATGTATGCATTTAAGGCATGGAAAGCCAAGACACTGCAGCTAAAAAGGTTCTACATGAAGGATCTCTGTGAGTGAACTCCAGTAGAAAAAAAGTGGCCATCAAAGAAGAATATACTTTTATGTTTCTGTGTGGGAGCAAACTGTTGAAATCCTTACTTAATGTATACTAAGCTGATCTTCTGTATATTAAGATAATTGAAAATGAATCTTGATGTGAATGGAAGGGGAGAGGGAGTGGGAAAGGGGAGGGTTGTGGGTGGGAGGGACGGTATGGGGGGGAAGCCATTGTAATCCATAAGTCGTACTTTGGAAATTTATATTCATTAAATAAAAGTAAAAAAAAAAGAAGAATATACTTTTCTCTGAAGGAAGGAAAGAACTTCCACTTTGCTTATGGGCTTATCTAAATACTGATGGAGTTTGTGGATTAAAAAGGTTTCTGTAGCCTAGGCAGCCTCAGGTGGTCACTAATGTTACACATAAGAGTGTTCATTGTTAAATTAACAACAGTAGTCACTGGGCACTAACTTTCCATGCAAGACCTCTGTCCTCAATGAGTTGTATTATGAGAGTTAACTGTAAAACTTGTTCTCAAACACTTTTCTCTGTGTGTGTGTGCAAATTGTTGAAATCTTTACTTAGCATAGAGTTAGTCTTCTATGTATAAAATAAATTGAATATGGATCTTAATGGAGAATGGGACTGAGAATGGGAGAGGGAGGAGGAGGAGGAGTGGGAAAGTGGGTGGGAGGGAAGAATCACTATATTCCTAAAGTTGTACTTATGAAATTTGTATTCCTGAAATAAAAGTTTTCTTTGATAAAAATAAATTAATAAATAAAAACCGAAATCTGACGCTATTTACAGATGAGTTAGTTTGAAGATGTATCATGTCTGGCAGCTGTTCTATTAGGTCATGCTCTTGTGTAGCTCTGATGCATTTGAAAAACTTTATTTACAATGGATTATGATACATGATTTTTAAGGAACTATATAATTATCAGATATAGACAAGGTGCCTCAAAAAAGAAAGTTTATTACTTTTATTACTGATTCTGCTAGAAAAGAATGGGAGGAATAAGGCTTTCACTCATTTAATCCAATATATATATTTAAAAAACTTTCATATATGATAGACTTTGGGTAAATCTTAGGAATAAAAATGTTTATCAAAACTTAGTGAACATCCACATGAAAGACATTTAAGAAAATATAGTGAACCCAGCAGTCAGCTGCTTTTTCATCTTTTGTGTGGAAAATCTGTTGTTGCTGTGGCCTTTCTTACAATACAGACCTGGAACACTCAAAGAGAAAGAAAAAAGAGATTAATATTTGAGGTTGATTTGAGGTAGTTGTTTTATTCTCTTTTCCTTCTAAAAAGCCCTTTAATGTGGTTAATTAGTAGTACACATAAACTGAGATCCATTTTTTCCACCTTTTCTTAGAGGACGTATATAGGGAACACAGTTACTTTTAAATAAGCAGGATTGGTGAAGATCTATTCTGATCACATGTGTTAGGTGTTCTATGTGCTCTCTGTACTTGGATGTTCCTATCTTTTTCCAAATTAGGGAAGTTTTCTGCTGTTATCTCACTAAATGGGCCTTTTAATACATTCTCTTTCCACACCTTCAGGGAAGCCTAAGGTTGTTTAATAGTATCCCCAAAATCTAGAACACTATTTTCAATTTTTCTAATATCTTCTCCTTCTCCTCCTTTTTTTGTCTGACTGAGGTATTTCCAAGGATGTGTCTTTTGGCTTGGACAGTCTTTCTTCTGCCTCACCATGTCTGTTGTTAGGGCTTTCCCTTATATTTTTTAATCAACATATTGAATTCTTCACTTCTAGTATTTCAGTTTGATTTCTCTTCAAAATCTCAATCTCATAGGAAATTTTTTCATCCATGTCATGTATGAATTTCTTTACCTCATGAATTTGCTTCTCATTACTTCTGAATAATCCTATAATCATTCTTTTAGATTCTTTTTTCAGGCACTTCATCAATCTCTTCATCTTTACATTATAATATTGAAGTGTTTGTTACTTTTGGAAAGTCCTATTTTCTTCCTTATTTCATGTTCATTGTATTTCCATATTTATTTTTAGACATTTGTGGAAATGTTTGTAGGTTTCTCCTCTGATGGCTTTTAACTTTGAACTATACCTCTGTGGCTTAGTAAATTGTCTGCTGCATCAGTAGATATCCAGGGACATGTGCTGGCTGGGGCCAGAGAACTCTGGTCAGCGCCTGAGGTTTGGACAAGAGTTCTAGGTGACACTCATGTTGTGAGTAGTAGATATTCTCTATTGTCAACAGTAGGGAGAGTATGAACATTTCAGTTGGTATATTCACAGCCTCACCTCTTCTCTGCCAAAGTGATCAATTCCCTTGTTAGCCCTCAGTGGCTACACAACCTATCCCTGTAGGTACATGAACAACACTAAGGCCCTCAGTCTAAGCACAGAAACTTCTGCAATGACCCACCCCAGGCACTGAGGGAAACTGAGGCTCTGTAGCCAGACACAGTGATTGCCCAGAGACCTAGATCCTCCTCACACCCTATTGTGCAGTCACAGAATTCCCAGAGTCATAGCATGCAAGGCTGTCACAATCACAGGGTGCAGGGGATCTACACTCAGCCCCACAATCCTGTCCCATACATGAAGAGAGCCAGCTGCCTGTCGTGCTCTGCCTTGGCACTTCGAACTTGGGATGTATGTGATAGAGTAGAGGGAAAGGAGTACGCCACAGTCCTGAGTGGGCACCCAGGTACCTGCCAACGCTCCAGGTCAGTATGGACTGTGGATTTATCCCTCTCATAAAATCTCCTAATAGAGTGTGTGTGAGCTGCCACAGCCTCTACTCATGTTACTAAGACGATGCTTTCTCCATCCTGGTCTCCAAGCACCCTTGTGAGAGAATGAGGAAAAAGAGAGGCTGGGTTAGGTGGGCACCCTACCCCCAGCTAGATCTTTACCACAACACATGATAGTCAAACTGTCAACAGTAAAATATAAAGAAACTGTTCTAAAATTTGCATAAGGAAAATGCCGTATTACCTTCAGAAGAAACCCAATTAGACTAACAGCTGGTTTCTCATCAGAAACTTTTCAGACTAGGAGATAATAGAGAACATATAGTCCAAGTCCTAAAAAGAAAAAAAAAAATTCTAGAACATCATACCAACAATACACATATATCAATAGCTTTTATATACATAGAAAATGCCATGGCTGAGAAGGAACTTCTACCATCAATCCCATTCTCATTAGCTACAAAAAAATAAAATACCTTGCAATAAGTTTAACAAGGGTGTATAAGATGATTACAAGGAAATATAGAAAATGCTACAAAAAATAAAGGAAGACATAAAAAATGGAAATATCTTCCATGTTCATGGATTGGAAGAATTAATACCACCAAATTATCCACAGTCTGCAAAACAATTTCCACATTCAATATGATGCCAATCAAAATATAAATGTCGTTCTCCTCAGAACTAGAAAAAAGATGCTAAAATTTATATGGAAACACAAGAGACCCCGAATAGCTAAAGCAATCTTAAGCAACAACAACAAAGTCATAGGCTGATGACAATAATGATAATGCAGTTCTTCGGATGTTTTATAAAGATCTGAAATGTAGAAATGAAGGAAATTAAACTGTTCTTCAAATAAGTGCTAATTAGGATGGTTGAATATATAGTAACTTTAACCAACCAATATTTCTGCACATATTATCAGGGGGATAATAGAAATTTTATTTTACATGGGTAATAAAGTTTTTAAGAACATAATTTGTAGTAATTGAAATTATTCCATATGTGTGCCGAATAGAGTCCCGACTACTCCACTTCCAGTCCAGCTCTCTGCAATGGTCTGCGAAAGCAGAAGATGGCCCAGGCCATTGGGCCTCTGCACCCACGTAGAAAAACCGGGGAAAATTCTAGGCTCCTGGATTGGATCGACACAGCTCCGGCCGTTGTGGCCAACTGCAGAGTAAACCAGAGGATGGAAGATCTCTCTCTCTCTCTCTCTCTCTCTCTCTCTCTCTGCCTTCCATTCTCTGTTTGTATAACTCTGACTTTCAAATAAATAAATAAATATTATAAAAAATAAAATAATCATGACTGATAATGTCAAATCAGGACAAACTTTTATATATTCCCATGTAAATGTAATTTAAAACATATGATTTTATAATTTGACAATACTTTTGATAAAATCCAAGTAAGCCAAACTAGTTAATCTCTCTAGGAGAGCTAAAATTCATGAGGATCTCCAGAATCCCAACTGGAAATCCCAAGGCCAAAGAATTTATTTTGAAGCTTTGAGCTGCTGGCACTGTAGCAAAGCAGGTAAAGCCACCACCTGCTGAGCTGGCATTCCGTACAGGTGCTCATTCGAGTCCTGGCTGCTCTACTTATGATCCAGCTCTCTGCTATAGCCTGGGAAAGCAGTACAGGATGGCCCAAGTTCTTGGGCCGCTGAATTTGTATGGAAGACCCAGGGGAAGCTCCTGGCTCCTGGCTTCTGGCTCAGATCAGCTCAGCTTTGGCTACTGCAGCCAACTGGGGAGTGAACCAGCAGATGGACAACCTCTCTCTCTCCTTCTCTTTCCTTCTCTCTCTCTCTCTCTCTCTCTCTGTCTTTCTCTCTCTTTCCTTCTCTCTCTCTCTTTCTTGCTCTCTCTTTCCTTCTCTCTCTCTTTCCTTCTCTCTCTCTCTCCTCTCTTTGTGTAACCCTGACTTTCAAATAAATAAATAAATAAATTTTTTTAAAAAGAACTTTGATTCTGAGAGAATCTGTCTCTACCTCTCTCTGTAACTCTTTTAAATGAATAATAAAATAAATCTTTAAAAAATGCTGATGTCCAACCTCTATTTTAAAAATTAAAAATCAACCTAAATAGTCATACAAATTAATAGCTAAAAGTGTACTATAATGTTTTACATCTCGGTTTTAGAATAATTTTAATCTAGTTTTGGCAAGATTTTAAAGTACACAAGAGTATAGATTGGCTTAATATTTTTAAATGGCAATTTGGCAGTATCTAGCAATACTGAGACATTCTGTTCCACCAATTCCACTGATCTGAAGATGTACTCACACATGTAAATAGGTGAAGTGCTATTGCTTCTATATTAGTTCAAAATTAAATCGAATTTTGAATCTGTTTTATGGCTAAATACTATAGAAGACACTGACTCTGACACAAAGTAGTTACTATAATTATAGTAGTTAATATCATGACTGGTATCTGTGTTGAGTAGTTTCCATTTTTCCTCCAAATTCACTCTTCATCCATCTTATCCTGCTGTGGATCTGGAGAGCTATGGACTGCAACCACAGACCTCTTCTTGACATTTGCTTCCATTTGGATAACACCAGCAATTGATTTGAATGATGAATTTAAAAGAACTTGGATATTTGTTAGACTGACTCCCTCCATGCCAAACTGCCATGGTTTAGAATGCTATTTCTAATCATGGCTACAGTTTCAACCAGACCCCTATCTGGTTTCTGGTAACTATTCCTATTTCATGTTTCTTGAGACCTAGAGGTTGTAAGAACTCCTTGCTGCTGGGAGCCACAGGTACTGCATTATTCCTTATCTGTTTATCTGTTTTTAAACTTATTTATTTTTATTTATTTGAAAATAGTGCAGGGCACAGAAGGAGAATCTTCTATTTGCTCATTCACTCATCCAATACCTGTAACAGCTTGGGCTTCGCCAAGAGGAAGCCAACAACCTGGAACTCTATCCAGTCTCCCACATGGGTGACAGGAACTGTGATACAGGATGCTGGCACCCTAAATTTTACCTTAAGTTACTATACTACAGCATTCACCCCTCTTATCTGTTTTCTTAATTCTCATTCATGTCGTTGTAAATAGTCATATGGCTAACTTCCCAAATTACCTTGTTTGAGTGAACCCAATATTGTTCCTGACAATATCCTTAACAATATTTCAGTTTCCATTATTGTTGGCTACAATGGACTGAATGATTGTGCTCTCCCAAAGTTCATATTTTGAAATCTTAGCCTCTAAAATGATGGTATTAGAAGGTTGGATCTTTCTGAGAAAATTAGGTCCTCAGGGTGGGACACTCACGAGTGGGGTTAGTGCCTTTATAAACAAACCACAGAGAGCTCTGTCACCTTTTTTTTTCCTTAACATGTGAAAACACAACAAAAAGGCTGTCTATAACCTGGATGAGGGCTCTCACCAAATTCTCACATGCTGTCACTGATCTCAGATTTCCAGTATCTAGAGCTATGAGAAATGTTAGGGCCACTGCTGTGGCATAGCGGGCGAAGCCACTGCCTGTAGTGCTGGCATCCTTTATGGGCTCCAGTTCAAGTCCTGGCTGCTTCACTTCAGATCCAGCTCTCTGCCATGGCCTGGGAGAGCAGTGGAAGATGTCCCAGGTCTTTGGGCCCCTGCTCCCATGCAGGAGACCTGGAAGAAGCTCCTGTCTCCTGGCTTCAGATCAGTGCAGCTCTGGCTTTTGTAGCTATCTGGAGAGTGAACCAGCAGATAGAAAACTTCTCTCTCTCTCTCTGCCTCTGCCTCTCTGTAACTCTGCATTTCAAATAAATAAATAAATAAATCTTTTAAAATAAGAAACACATTTCCATTTCTTATAACCTACATAGTCTTTGGCACTTCATCACCAACAATCCTAACTGCCTAAGACACTGGCTGAGCTCAGTTTTTAATCAAGGATCCACCTTGTTGCCCCTTACATCTTTTCGTTCATGGAACAATATAATGGTTTCTTGAATATATGATCAGTCTTGATTATTCTGAATTAAAAATGGTAGTTCTATTAACTGTGAGAGCAATTGGCATAGGCGTATTTAATGAGATGGAAGGGAGTTCTAATCAGAGGCTTATAGAAAAAGCTGTTTTGACATAAGAAAGAAGTATATAAACACACCAATATTTGGAAAACAAATGTGTTTAAAGAAATTTATGTTGGGGAAGTTTTATTTGAAATCCATACATAATTTTCATAGTAAATATTCCATAACTTGTTTGAGAACTCTTTACATAAGAAGAGTAGTTTTGTGGTGGACTTTGTCCAGTGTGGGTGTGATGTCTGGCAACATCTTGTAATCATTACTAAAGCTGCATTATGGACCACACTATCATGCTAACATGGCTAAGCAGGTAAATGGAAACAACGTGGGTTTTCAAAGATGTAGATAAGCTGATAAATTAATCAATATTAGGGCTATCTTATCTTGTATATCATCTGTGAAATGATGTATCTCTTCTTTTTTCTTAAATTTTGAAGTGTTAAATGCAATACACATTTTATGGGGTACAATGTAATACTTTGACACAGATACTCTGAATAAACCAATCAAACTAGGCAACTGGGCTTTCCATTCCCATGTCTTTGTTTGGAGCTTACTAGATCCCCTCTTGCAGTTCTTTCTGCTGTATATTATATTTTTTAAATGATGTATTTATTTATTTGACAGAGTTACACAGAGAGAAGTGGAGAGGGAGGGAGGGAGGGAGCGATGCAAGGAGAGAGAGAGGAGAGAGAGAGCACTCTTTCATCTATTGTTCACTCCCCAGATGGCTGCAATGGCCTGGGGGCTGAGACTGGACAAAGCCAAGAGCCAGGAGCTTCTCTTAGGTCTCCCACTGGGGTGGCAGAGGGCCAAACACTTGGGCCATCTTCTGTTGCTTTCTCCAGGCCATTTAGCCAGGAACTGAATCAGAAGTGAAGCAACGGACATTTGAACTGGTACCCAAATGGGATGCCATCATCGCAGATGGCTGTTTTACTTGCCACACCACAGTGACAGCCCCTGAATATTATCTTGTTGTAAACTATACTTACCACATTGTACTACAGAACACCAGAAATTGTTACTCATTTCTGACTGTGCTTGGGTACCTGTTATTCAGCCTTCCTGTATCCGCTTCTCCCTACCTTTGCCACCATATTCTAATTACCAAGTACAGATATATATATATATATATAATTTTTTCTCTCACATATGAAAGAGAACATGTGCTTTGTCTTTCTGTTTCTGGCTTGTATCACTTAACAAATGACACTAGTGCCTCTCTTTTTGATGAAAATGTCAGGATTTCAATCATTTTTACCTAAATAATATTCTGTTTTATATATATATATATATACACATTATATATGTGCTAGATTTTCTTTATTCATTTATCCATTTGTGGGATCTATTTGATTCCATGTATTAGCTATTATGAATAGTGCTGCAAAAAACTTGGGAATGGAGGTATCTTTCATATGTGATTTCATTTCTTTCAGACATATACTGAATCTGGACAACTAAGTCATATGGTATATCTATTTCTATGTTTTGAAGAAATATCTATACAGCTCTGCATAATGGCTACAGTAATTTGCATTCCCGTTGACAGTGTGTTAGGTTTCCTTTTTTTCTCCACAGTCTCCAAACATCTGCTATTTTTTGACTTTTTAAAAATTTTAATTAGCTCTAACAGATTCAGCATGGCTTGTAGGTAGAATTCTAAGAACATAATGTTATTCCATTCATCCCTCCCTTGCTGCCTTATGCTTCCCTCTCCAATATAGTGTCATCTATCTGTGTTCACTTTGCTGCAAACGGTAGAATTTCATTCTTTTTTATAGCTAAATAATATTCCACTATGTATATATACCACATTTTACCGTGGTAAAATGTGATTTTACTTTGATTGATTCCAACTTTTGGCTATTATGAACAGTGCTTGTAATAGACATTCTAATTGTAACTGTGAGATGATATCTCATTGTGGCTTTGATTTGCATTTCACTGATGCATGGTGATAATGAGCATTTTCCCTTATACTTCTCTTTGTTATTTATCTCATTTTGAGTTAGTTTTTTTCTTGCAGTTGTTGGCGTCCCAGTGAAATAATCAAAATTGAAACTAGAGAACACACAAAAAAATACAGCAAACTGACTTTTGAGTTGCAAATATTTCTGAAAATAATTATTTACAAGATAAAGTGAATATTATATATGAAATTAAAAATGTGAGTATATCCTTAGACATTGCTCTCTCTATATATATAAGGATATCAACAGATTATACATATGCCCCCAAATCCCAGTGCTCAATATTTATTGGTATATTGTGCTAGAATTGATAGTTGTTATGCTGTATTGTTTAAGGAATGATGACAAGAAAAAAAAAAAAGTCTGCACATGTTAAGCACAGATGCAAATTTTCTGTGAAAATTTTCAGACTGTAGTTGGCTGAACACAGCAGTGTGGAACCCATGAGTAGAAAAAGTTGGTTGTGTATCAAAGCCTGCTAAAAATCCATTAGGTTTAGGAATTTCTTTAGAAGGAAATTTGACAGACTGTGGCTTGTTTTGTTCTCTTTTATAGAGGAGCAAGAAAGGATGGTCACCTGCCACCTAATGGACAAGTCAATCATTCAGCTTATAAAGTCACTCACTTTGCAGATGGCCTAAGAGTTAAACTAATAATGTGTTGTCAGTCACCACTTCATTAAAACAGTCTTGAGACAACCATGACTGGGTCGTCTCCATTTAAAATAGTAGATGTAGAAAATTCCGTTTTAACATCTTTTTCCTGGAAATGGATATGTAAGTGGTAGACTAACACTGAGTGTACCAAAATGGTATAGTAGATAATTTAGGAGAAGGGGAGTATTCGGGATGGGCAGTAGATGAAAACAGGGGACCCATCTGGATTTGTACTGTATTTTTGTTCAGATTTTAAAATGACTATTCATTTGTTAAAAAATAAGCATCATTTGTGTACCTGTTAACAACAATCATAAATAATGAAATTAAAATTGTTGTAAAATTGCTGGATCATAAATTGCTTAACAATGGGAATTCTGCAATTTTGTATTATGAATTCCTTTTACCTATGTTTGTACCATATCCTATAAAAGTATTTCTATACTGTATATATAAACCAGAAGCAAAATGACATACTTTGAGATCATAGTCATGGAGAATTTCATGCTTTAGACACATTGAGGGCAACTGTCATACCAACTAGACAGAAAACAAGGGAACACCACACCTCATTCCCCAAAGATGTGTGTACAGGGCAAGGGAACATGTATTGTTTATCCCCAACTCTATGTGATTCATGTTCAGTTAATTTTGGATCTCTTGAGAAATGAAAATGAACACCTGACCTTTGGCATGCTTAATATAGCATTGTGCAATTCTACAGATTTTAATGAAATATTTTATCTCAGAAATCCTATAGTAAAAAGAAAAAATCATCTGAATCCTCATGGATGTATGGGTGGATTAGATTATAGCGGTATTAACATGTAGAGTTTTATAGTTCTGTTTGAAATAAATACAAAATACAGTAAAATATTAATTATATAAGATCGTCCCATTTATGAAAATATTAGTATCCATGAAATAAAACCATATCATAGAATTAAACCATATAAGGTAATCTACTGATCCCCAGATTTTTAAAATGTATTACTGAATCTTAGAATTTCAAAGGAATTTCTGGAATATTTTCAAAATCTATTAAAGAAAGAAAAAATATCAGAAAAGATTGCGTTGTTATAAAGCAAGCTGACCTATTTAAAGTTATTGTTTTGAAAGCTTATTTGAATAATAATCCCTGCAGCAATCTAAATATTTAAAAGCAACACTAAAAATCATAGTTGTGGTAAATTAGAGAAAGCTGTTATCTCTCACCATGTGGATCTGTTGATCATGACCTTTCCTACCGTGTTCTTTTCTCTTCTCCTCCATGTTGAGAGGCAGAAGGGGGAGGACGTGATGATTTGTGTACTGCCAGCATGATTGCCAGCATGACCAGCACTGTGAGATAAAGGCAGAATATGGCAGCCATCACCCTTTACTACAATGAAGGGGTGGCAGAAGGATGGATAATGGACTAATTGGCCTTAGAATTTTACACCAGCTGTAGAAGCCCTTTTCTTGATCTTTATTGTGAGGTCACTGACTATAAGGGGCTCTGCTATAGAAACCAACATATAATTAAGAAAGGACCTGAAAAGTGAAGTATAGCTGAGAAGTGACAATGTTGGACTACCATACCTTGAGGGGAAATTTGGCTGATGCAACAGAGTGCATATTTAGGACAGCCAAAGATACTTTTCTTGATGTTGAGACTTTCTCCTTGCCTCAGAGTTCCTTAGAAAGCACTGGGGTTTATCATTCTGTTGTTACTGTCACAGAAATAACAAGGGCTTTGAGACTTTCTACTGAACGTCACAGATGTTGGCAAAGCATTTATGTGGTCTTTAGAGATAAATGTGTAACACCAGACTTACATAAACACTATTAGGATGAATACAGCTTTTCAGCTACTTTTCTCTCTTTAGTGTCTCTGAGTTTGCAAATATTGCTTCTGAAATGTAAATGGAACTTCCTTATTCTCATACTGAGGCAGAGACTCTCAATTCTAATATTGAAACAAAAGATTATTCAGTTATGCAGCTGAGGTCCCATATTACAGATCATGTAATGATCCTTTGTGTGCTAAAATTTTGACATAGAAGTCTGAGAGGTATAAGGAACAATAGAAAGTCATTTCATGTACAGAATCCCCAGGCATTCTGGCATTTATAATAGGATTTTAAGGCATAACATCTTACAGGAACACATCTGCACAGGAACAGTAGTGTTTCAATTCTAGTCTTTTATCATCAGCAAGAAACTAGAAATACTGCTTCCTATGCAAGGGAAAAATTTGCTGGTGATTACAGTTTTATAGTTGAGCTCCTTATAGATGATTTCTCCCTACTTGTAAAGAAAGCAGTAGTAACTGTCTTGGATTTTAATGAGAGAAGTAGAAGGAAAGAGACCCAGTTGCATCACATTGCATTGTGTTGAGCTTGGGAAGATACTCCTCAGCTTTGATTATGTTTGCAAAGATAACTGTAATACATTTGGCAATAGTGTGCGTAGCCCTAGTTCACAAGCCTTCAAAACTGAAGGGCTTGATCATGTTCCTCAGATGCATCAGGGCACCTGCTCCACGAAGGCTTTCCCTTCTCTTTGCTCCTCATTTAAATTGGTGGGTAATAAATATTTTCAAATGGGTAAAGCACTAATTATAAGTTTAAGCTGATATCAGTAATATTTTGCTAATAATATTTGATGGCCACAAAGAACAAAAGCAGGTGATATGCACACACATACACACACACACACATGGAGAGGGGCAGAAGGTGGGGAGAGAATAATGGAGAGGGAAATAGGGAGAGAGAAAGAGAGAGAGAGAGAGAGAGAGAGAGAGAGAGCATGCATTATAGAGCTTCCATCCACTGATTCATTCCCCAAATGCCTACACAGGCCAGGGTGGAACAAGGAAAGGAGCCAGGAACTCAATATGGATCTTTCATGTGGGTAACAGGTTCTACTTGAGCTGTCACCACTGCTTCCCATGGCCTGCATTTGTTCAGAGTGAAGCTGCGACTTAACTCAGGTGGACCAATGTAATGAATATAATGTCCTTACCTTTTAAAATCTTGACATATAAAACAACCATGTAGGTGATGATCAATTAAATACCACTTAAATTATATGATTGTTTTCAAAAACTTCTTAATATCTCGAATAAACAGTATTTTCCGATAGTAATTAAAACAGCATAGTATTGGCATAAAAGCATATCCATTGATCAGTGGAACTGAACAGAGATCTTGGAGGCAAACTCATACATCTATAGGCAATTGATATTTGAGAAAGATTTTAAGAGCATGAATTGGAAAAATACAGTCTTTTTAATAAATTGTTCTGGGAAAAGTGGCTATCCACATACAGAAGACTAGACCTCTGTCTGTCACCATGTAGGAACATCAACTCACCTAAAACTCACCTAAAACTTTGAAATTCCCAGAAGACTTAAGATATATACCTCTGTACTTTGGCAAGGGCAAGAAATTTTTGGATCACAGCACAAAAACAGAGCAAACAAAAGCAAAAATAGACAAATTAGATTTCATCAAACTAAGAGCTTCTGGATGTGGGCATCTTAACTGTCCCTGAAAACCTTGCCATTTTATTTTATTTTATCTTATTTCATTTTAATGCAGAACAATAGAGAGAAGAAGACAGAGAGAGAGCTCTTCCAACTGCTAGTTCATTCTCTTAATGGCTGCAAAAGTCAGGTCTAGACCAGGCTGAAGCCAGGAACTCCATTTTGGACTCCCATATAGATGGCAGGGGCCTGTACTTGGGCCATCTTCCACTATCCAAGTCACATCAGCAAGGACTTGGGTCTGAAACAGAGCACCTAGGACTCAAAATGACACTCTGATGTGGATGTTAGCATTATGGGCTGGGGCTTAACCCACTGTGCCACAATGCAGATCCTCAAAACCCTGTCTAACTGGAATAGGGACCTTGCCTAAATTGAAGAGCCAACACTGATATCAGAGGAAATATTAACTGCCTTTGATTGATGAAGGACAGTACACAGAATTTTTTAGTAAAAATATACATGTAAATTATTTTAGTAAGGATACACTCAGTTTAATAATGGTGAAAATAAAAAGGAAATTGACCACTATTATAAAACATAAAGGGCTCTTTATACTTCAGATACTATAAGGAATACTTTACATGCATTTCATTTATCCCTAAGCCAATTTAATGAAGTATGTAATTTTATTCAATTTACTATAATAAAGAAAAATTTTAACACTAATAAGCAGTAAAGTTGGAAGTGAATACGAGTTCCTCTGACCCATATCCAGTCAATATTTTTGATTGTAAGGGGACACATAACATACCAATGCACCAAGTGGGCAATTAGGTGATTCTTTGTCATCTCTTGTGCACAAGGTCTCATGCTGAAGTTATCACAGAAGATTTCTCAATCACTGGTTTGACTCTTGTCCAGGAACTTTGTGCAGGGTTTCTTCATGTAGCTTTGGTTTCTCAAAACAGGGCTGCTGGATACCAAGGATAAGTCTCCCAAAAGGAAGAGTCTGGAGGCCTTCAAACTAAAAAAAAAAAAAATCAAGTCCACAGCATTGTACATATTAGAAGTGGTCACGAAGGCCAGAATATTGCTGGGTAGAAGGCAACATGCTCTATGTTTTACTGGAATCAGAACCAAAGAATTTGTATATATCTTTAATTCATTTATTTTCAATTGCAGAAAAACATGCATAATGTATAAAATAATAATGGACACCTTAACCATTTTTAAGTGTATAATTTAGTGGAATTAAGTTAACTCATGTTGTTAAGCAGCCATCACCACTGTCCATCTCCAGAACTTTTTCATTTTCCAAAACTGAAATTTGGTACCTGTTAAACAATAGCTCCTTGTTCTCCCAGCCTGGAAATCATTGTCTTACTTTTTGTCTTAATAAACTCGACAACTCCATGCACCTCATAGTAGTGGAATCATACTGGCTTGTTTCACTTAGTGTGATATCCTGAAAGTTCAGACATATTGTAGAATATTTCAAAAATTTTTAAGGATATATATGATTATAATATTGTACTGTATTTTATTTATCCTTTCATTTGTTGGTGGATGTTTAGGTTGTATTTCACCTCTTGACTGTGTTTTGAAAATGGGTGTTCAGTAATTTCTTCAAGGAGTGGAAGTGCTGAGTCATATGGTAATTCTATCTACAAGTTTTTAGAAACAGTCATATTGTTTTCTACAGCACTTTTACTGGTTTATATTCACAGCAACAGTATACAATCTTTCCAATTTATACCTATCCTTGTCAATACTTATTTTCTGTTTTATTTTCTTTCTTTTTTTTAAAGATTATTTACTTATTTATTTGAGAGGTAGAGTTACAGGCAATGAGAGGGAGAAACAGAGAGAAAGGTCTTCCATCCGCTGGTTCATTCCCCGGTTGGCCGCAATGGCCGAAACTGCGCCCTTTTGAAGCCAGGAGCCAGGTGCTTCTGAAGCAGGCAGGCATACAGGTTAAAATTGATCAGATTTGTGAACTGGAAGATCACGCCCCTGTGTGACCTCATGCTCCTACCTGATGCCTTTGCCACGCCCCTGCGTGGCCTCATTCCCCTACCTGGCCACACCTGGGTGCCCACCATCCAATCAGGTTAATTAACCACTCCCCTTTGGAAGTGGGTTAAAAGCCAGGACACGGTGTGGCCCTGCCAGCTCTTCTTCCCTGGCCTCTTGCCAGGACAGGGCTTGCTGTAGTCCTGAGCCTCCAGGACGCATGGCCTTTCGGCCATGTGCTCTAGGCTTCCTGGCCTAGATGCTCATCCACGTGGCTGGTTCCTGGTGCTCGGTATGAACCACCATTCACCTCTCTCCTAAATAAAGCTCTCACTCTCTTATGCATCTTCCTTACTAAATAAAACTTAAAATGTAGCATGCTGCCTCATTTATCTGTGCTGGTATTTAGAATTCTTCTCTAAATATTGGCAGGAACCCTCTCGGGCTTATTAATATCAGGGATTTAGTAATAAGCCTGTGGTGAAATCGTAAGGCACCCCAAATTCCGGTAGTACATGTGGCACCCCAGATAGCATTTCTAGGGAACTTTAAGGGGCCACAATTTAGTGTAGATTTTGGGGGTCTTTTCCGATTTCACTTCTTCCCGGTCTCCCATGCAGGTGCAGGGCCATCTTTTACTGCTTTCCCAGGCCATAGCAGAGAGCTGGACTGGAAGAGGAGCTGCAGGGACTAGAACTGGCGCCCATATGGGATGCTGGCACTGCAGGCAGAGGATTAACCTACTGCTCCATGGTGCTGCCCGCTGTTTTATTTTCTTAAAGTACCTTCCTAATGTGTATGAGGTATTGTTTCATGCTGGTTTTGATTTTATTTCCCTGATCAGAGATGTTGAGTTTTTTTAATTAATAATTTCCTATAACTTCATAAATACATGTCCACTCAAGTTCTTTTGCATTTTCAAATCAGCTTGTTTGTTTTTGTTGCATCACAGCCATTGTTTTTTTTTTTTGACAGGCAGAGAGAGAGACAGAGAGAAAGGTCTTTCTTTTTCTATTGGTTCACCCCCCAACAGCCGCTGCGGCCGGCGCACCATGCTGATCCGAAGCCAGGAGCCAGGTGCTTCTCCTGGTCTCCCATGGGGTGCAGGGCCCAAGCACTTGGGCCATCCTCCACTGCACTCCCTGGCCACAATAAAGAGCTGGACTGGAAGAGGAGCAACCGGGACAGAATCCGGCGCCCTGACCGGGACTAGAACCCAGTGTACCGGCGCTGCTAGGTGGAGGATTAGCCTAGTGAGCCGTGGCGCTGGCCAGCAACACAGCAATTCTTAATATATTCTGATATCAATTGTTTAGTATACATGTGGGGTATCACTCAGTAGATTGTGTCCTTTGAACACAAAATTTTATATTTTAGTACAGTTCAGTTTATCTATTTTTTATTTGTTGCTTGTGTTTTCAGAGTCATATCTAAAAAAGTATTTCCAAATATAATGTCATAAATATTTTGCAGCTTTCTTCTAGGAATTTTCTAATTTAAGTCCTACCTTTAGGTCTTTGATTCATTTAGTGGTAATTTTTGTATGTGGGGAAAAGTAAACATCCAACTTTATTGTTTTGTGTAAATATCTAATTTTCCCATTAGCTTTTGATGAACAAACTGTCTTTTTCCTGTTTTATGGTCTTAGCACCCTTTTGAAGAGTATATATCCTTACACATGAGGGCTTATTCTGGGACCTCTATGTTTCATTAGCCTGTGTGTCTGTTGTTAACACGTGTATTACCTTGTTTTGATTAATGTTCATAGTTTTTATTTTTTTATATTTGATGTCCCTTGAGTTTCCATAGGAGTTTTAGAATTTTTCATTTTTGTTTTTGAAATGCAACTGGGATTGTACTATTAATTTCCCTGTAAGAAATTGTTAGTGCATGGAAATTCACTGATCTTTGTGCTTATTTTGTGTCTTATAACCTTACTGAGTTAATCTAGGAGATCTACCAGAGTTTTTTGTTTTTGAATCTGCAGGGCTTTTGATGTGTAAGATTGTGCTATCTGTGAGCAGTGATAATTTTACCTTTTCTTTACAATCTACTGCCTTTTATTCATTTTTTTTCCTTTACTTCTCTGATTAGAACTTGTGGTACCGTAGTTAATAGAAGTGACAAAAGTAAGCACCTTGACATTTTTCTGATCATGGAGGAAAGTTGTCAGTCTTCCACCATAGAGTACAATGTCCAGTGTTGTGTCTGTCTCTTAAATCACCACATCACCTTTTGATATTTTGCTTAAATAGCATTCTCTTTTCACACGAAGACATTATGTTTGAGCCTCAGTGCATCAAGAAGTGTAACTTTTGGCAATTATGCTATGAGGCAAGGTAAAGAAAACAGTCCAAAGATACCTCAGACAACGATAAAAATGCTAGCCAGCTAGCCAGTTTGTCAGAAGTGGAAATGTAAAAAATAAAGTTACTATTATTTTACTAAGGGAACACTAAGTTACTGATAATTATTTTTAAATCTCCCCAATATTAAAGCTACTTCCTGGGGCCGGCGCTGCGGTCCAGCGGGTTAAAGTCCTGACCTAAGGCACCGGCATCCCATATGGGCAACAGTTCTAGTCCTGGCTGCTCCATTTCTGATCCAGCTCTCTGCTATGGCCTGGGAAAGCAGTGGAAGATGACCTAAGTCCTTGGGGCCCTAAACCCACTTGGGAGACCTGAAAGAAGCTCCTGGCTCCTGGCTTCAGATCAGCTCAGCTCTGGCCCTTGTGGCCATTTGGGGAGTGAACCAACGGATGCAAGACCTCTCTTTGTCTCAATCTCCCTCTGTGACTCTGTCTTTCAAATTAATAAAAATAAAATCTTAAAAATATAGGAGACCTGTGTGGAGTTCTTGGATCATGGCTTCAGGTTGTCTCAGTGTTGGCTTTTGCAAGCATCTCTCCCTCTGTCTTTTCCCCTCTCTCTCTGTCACTATGCATTTCAGTAAGTAAGAGTAAGTAAATAAGTAAGTAAATCTTTAAAAAATGAACACAGTTAGCAGTTTAAGATGACCCTTTAAAATATCCTTTACAAATGGCAATGGTAGCAATTCAAATAAATGAGAAAAGAACAGATAATGGAACATACTATGTTGTGAAAACAGGATATTGATTTGTAAAAAACTTAATTTACGTCTTTAGCTAACACTGCCCCTAAATCTATTCCAAAAGAGCTAAAATATTAAAATAGAACACTGCAGCCATCAACATACAAAAAAAATCAGAAAACAGTTTTTATAATGCCAGGGTTCAGAAGACCTATCAAAGAGGATGATAGTAAAGATTGACATAAGTGACACAATAAAAATTAAAACTTATAAATGGAAATTGCACAAAATTGAAAGAGAATATTATCACATATTTGACCAATGGTTGTCCACAAATGGACAAAGGAACTGTGCCAAAAATAAGGAAGAGTCCATGAACAACAAAAAATAATGAATTAAAAATAAAATAAGCAGACAACTCAGAACAAAAACACACAAATAACCAAAGGACATTGTTAATTGTCTGACCCAACTTCAATTACAGAAAAACAAATATTATTTATTTTCATATTGAAGTGACATATTTATCAATGGATTTCAGTATTTTTAAATAAAAATAAGCTTATGTTTTCATTCTGTTTTCTTTATGTTGAAAGCTTTGAGGATCTGTGGCACTGAAGTGTGTTTGTTGTCTATTTGCTCGTTGATCCATTGTTTTTTCTCTGCGGTATTCTTCATTGTAGGAGGACTGGTTCTTACAGATTGCATTATGCATAATCCCTTGTAAATTGCCTTCTTGCTGAGTTTGACCAAAGAATCTATTGAATTGGTAGAGACTAAAGTTTGACAGAGGACAAAAGTTATTTCTTCCCCTTTCTCCCTCAGGTACTGGCTTTGACCTAGAACACTGGTCCTTGGCTCTACTTGCCAACTCTGGCTTCCTGACTCTAAAAACACCTCTTCCTCCCACTGTCTCTCCACCTACTCAGCACAAAGCACTGGCACCAGTGGGTGCTGGCAGTAAGAGGGT